ATTGCTGGAGCGGAACCAACGCCAGCCTCAACGGTCCTTGCGGCATCGATGTTGATGGGAGAACGCGGCCCATCCCAGCCTGCGAGTGGCTTGCCATCCGCAGTCTCTACCCGAGAGAAGAACTGGGGGGCTAGGAACCCGCGCTCGTCTCCCTCGGTTAGAACGACACCGTTGGCGGAGATGCAGAACTTGATACCAGCGTCGATGGCCTTCTGGACGTCGACGTAGATGAGTATTTGGGAGGAATTGCGCATGCCTAGATGGTTGCACATTTAGGAACATTAACAGTCAGTCGTGTGCAATGTTGCTTACCACTGACGACCCCTGACCCAGCCACGTCTTGGGCAAGATGGATGTGATTTCGAGTCATTTTACTGAGCCCTTGCTCCTCTAGGATTTGCAAGCAAAATGTCAGAACTTGTCACGTACAGAGTTTCAGCCACATACTGATGCTCTCCCAGGCTTTCCTGGTCGTCCCGTGGACTGCTATACCGGTAGGTATTTCGGATGCGGACCTGATGGGTTCGTAGTCCAGCACCACTGACTAGATGCATCCGTTAGCCCTTCGCTCACATGCGGTCGACACGCGGTGATCGTGGCTTGCCTTGAGCGAGTGCCCTTGGTTGGCTCTGATCCACCAAGATTCTTCCCCAGTCTGAGGATCGGCTTCGAGGACGAGACTGTATCGGCTCTTGGCATCGTTCCTTACAATGTCTTGCAATGCCTCAAATGATAGCTCGCGCAGCTTCGGACGCTGGAGCTACTTTCATTCATGTCAGTACCACATAGTGAAGATCTATCCAGGGCTACGTACGAGCTCGCCCACACGAACGTAGCCGTCAGGTCGCATAGCCAAGCCTTCTGCCTGAGATCCATGGCGGAGGATCCAAGAGAGAGTCTTCGAAATCCGAACTTCAGGAGAGTCCTTGGGCAGACCTCTCAGCTTTGCAGATCCGCCCTTTCCCCCACCTCTACCCCGTCCATTTCCCTTGTTTCGTGAAGCTTGCTTGTCATCACTCGTTGGTGCTCTATGTCCTTCCGGAGAACCTCCAGCAGACATTGGAAGGTGAAGACGTCTGATTTTGAGGGATGATGGCCGACAGGGGATTCGCAGAGAAGCAAAGATACTTCCTGAGCAATGAGACAGTATGTTCCGCGTCAGACTTATCTTTGAACCAGGTCACAGTTGGCAGTGGATGTACGACGGTACGAGGATGTAGCAGCTCCCAGACAAGGTGTACTGTTGAAAGGGCTGAATGCGGCCCGGAGCCCGGACAACGTTCCAACCCTAGAGTAGGGCTTGTTTTGCTCAGTAAGGTATGATATTCGCACGCTCGAGTTTTCAGCCATTCGAACGTGGACACCGCCGGAGAGTGCCAACGCTTTCGCTCTCGCTCTCGCTTTCGTTCTCCATGTTCGCCACTCTTCGTCGCCTCTACGCGACGATCCCCGACGCCGCGGCAGCGGCACGGACAGCATCCACCCCTCGAGCAGTCCGTCTCCGCCGCGCCAAGCAGGGCATCGAGGTCGACCCGCAGGAGTCCGACGCGACGCCCGAAGGCCTCACCCCGAGCGAATTCGCCCGCTACGAGCGTGCTCTTGCCAAGGGCGAACTGTTGCAGGCCGATGGGACCAACTTGACCGAGGCGCAGTGGCTGGAGAGGCTCGATTCACGACGGACCCGTCTCCGTGGTGTCAAGAGTGTCCCCAAAGACGGCGAGAAGGATGCCGAGGTTGTCGGTCAGAAGATCTACCTTCCCAACATCATATTCAAGATGGTCCGGAACCACACGCCTCCGGGCCAGCCGTACAACCCCTATGAAGCTACCTTCCGTGTACCTCAGTCTGTCACGAAGACCGACATTCGCTCCTACCTGCTCGCGGTTTATGGCGTTCAGACCACCTACATTCGTACCGACAACTACCTTTCTCCGCTTCGCAAGGGTCGTGGCCTGCCTACGTCTACCATCCCGGATAGGACATACAAACGTGCGGTCGTCGGTCTTGTCGAGCCTTTCTATTACCCGCAAGCCGAGGAGGATATGCCGCGTCAAGAGAGGGAAGAGCGGCGGAAGTGGTTGCAGGAGAGGTTGCTCGTGGGTAAACGGGACGTCGACAGGCAACTTTACTTCTTGCGGGTTTCGCGTTCTGTCGATGGCAAGGGCTGGAAGTGGAGGACTGGGCATACGGCGTCAAGAGGTAACATCTTGCGCCTCATCGCCGAGCGTCGGGCGCAGAGGGAGCAGGCTATCGAAGGCGTTAAGACTCGCATCCGCGAGGAGAGAACGAAGACGCCTGCGGAGGAGACTGCATAGTTAGAGTTTCTTGCTGGACGTCCGTTACTGCGTACGTCTACTCCCTGTGCTGCCTTACTCGCCCACACTGACTAAAAGCTTTCAGTTTATTGTATCAAATCGATAATGGGAGCTATTCCTGCGGACGCACCCTATTGTGTGGTACTGCGATCTCACTTCCTGTGATCCCCCATGGCGTGCTTCCACAGCATCAAGGAAATTGGCTTTGCGGACTGAAGAGCGCTGGTAGCCCGCTCGCAGGCAACAGTTGTCAGCGCAGTTGTCGAGCAGTCATTCCCGGGGAATTGTACCGGCTTTGAACGCCGCCAAGGATCCACAACCATGCCGCCACGACCATGCATCTCCCCTTGGCCTATGGAGAACAATCCTCGATAAGGTCATATTGCGACCGGCATGATTAATCGCAAAGTGAGTTCAATACCGGTTTAGCCACACGGACATGTCAACAAGCTCCAGAGACATGGACCGGCTCGTGCAATATACTGACTTGACCTTGTCAAAAGGTAGGTCATTGGCAGTTGAGACTGCTTACCTTCGCGACCGAGAGTCGTGCGTCGTCCGCAAGCATTCACGCTGCTCAATCGCACCCGGTAGATCGTCACCGACCGGTTATGGCTGGGAGCTTGTGCGCTCAATACCTCAGTTGCCCGCGTTGGCCACGGACCCAAGGTTTCTGCGTGATGTGTATCCAACTGCGTGCCCATGCGGGCGTTTCTTCAATGCGACACGGCATTCGACATCGCGTTGCGAAAGTCATCCGTGCGCGAGTGCGTTCCATCCCTAGTATGCAGTTCTTCATGACTGAGCTACATGTTAGGTCTCGATAACAACTCTAAGAGAATATGAGGACGACGTGCAGAAACGCGATTACTGTCATTTTAACAGCGATTGTGCAAGTGCGTCGATGGGTTTGCTGTGTTTTCTATTACACCCCGACCCTGGGGTGACCATCGAAGTGCGCCCGAGCTCTTTGTTGACCATCGTCACCATCAAAATAGGGGGTTGAAGTAGTTATCTGTCATGAAACACAGCTTCGTTCGCATGCTCAAAGAGTCGCGTATCCTTTGAAAAACTTCACAGTAGCCTCAAATGCGCCCTCCTTCCCTGCTTTCACCTTCGGGTCACTCTACAAGACGTGATGATGGTGAGCAACTGACAAGGATAAGCAACCAGGAGGACTCACCATATCGCCGCGGACAGCAAATCCGTGCTTGCAGCCTTCCCAATATGTCCTTTGATATCCGGGGGCGAATTTGCCGCCACCGAAAACCTCATCAGCCTTCGCTTGAGCTTCAAGCGGGAAGGCAGCATCAACCTCGCAGCTGTTGATCAAGAGCGGTGCCTTGGCCTTGTCGCGATATTCCTACGTCATAGATTACTAGATCAGCATCATCGGTCCATCATACTGTAACTATCTACAGGTGAACCTGTCATACCTCCAGATCTTCAGGTATGCGAAGGCGAGAGGGATGGGTGATCACGGTGGCATTGCTGTCGCCCTTCAGAGAAAGGTACCACGCAGGCGGGGCTCCGAAGCAGTATCCTGTCGTTCCGATCCAGGTCACACCTTCCGCGCGGAGGGCACCGACCACAGTATCTACCGCAGGTTTCCAGGTGTCGGGCCCGTGACGCGCACGCCAGCTCTCTCGATTGAAGTCCTGGCGTTCCAACGCGTCCTCTGGGTACGGGTCACCCTGAAACAGGTCCGGCATGATCGTGCGGAAGCCATTGCGCGCGAAATCGTCTACCAAGAGCTATAGGAACATAGCTCATGAGCGGCAATGAGGTGTACCGATGGTTGTGATGATCGCACCTTATTGTTGATGAGGGGGATACCGAAAACATCGGATAGGAAGAGCACGACTTTGTCTTTGGCGAAGTCATCCTGTGGCACGGCAATATAGCACTCGACATCGCCGATCTTCTCGAGGCTGCCTGTGGCACTGACATGTGAATGGCTGTCTACCTCCCGTTTGGACATCTCACTCACCTTGCGGTTGCCCTTCGTGACGGACACCTGTAAGTTTGGTTGTGAGAGAACGTCAGTGAATGGCTCATTGGTCAGGCCAACAACTCGGGCAGCCCTCAACTGGGTATTTCATAGCAATCGGTTGCTCAATGCACCTACGTACACTTGAAGCAGTCCGCGCAGCTCATCGCTGCAGTGGGAGATTATGGGATGTGGCAAGGTGGACGGTTCGCATGACCAAAAGCCTGCCTAGTCTGCGGTTCTGATGCATATGTAAGTAGCAAATAGCAATATTTGAATGCGTGCACGGCTATGTTTGGCTCTGGTGTGTGGTGATTATAAATAGGTCGATCCACGCGTGCCACAGTTCCCTTACTGTAACTTAGCTCCCTTACAGCTGTTTTGATGTCGATAGACCACAGTGGCCGGGTCCGTCGGAATAGACCACAGTCGAAATGATTACATACAGCATGTTGATGGTAGGCGACTTCCATACTTACTAGACCTCAATAAGCAACTCATATCTCCGCTTGGACTTGATGCCAGTGCATTAATGCCTAAAGCCTTATGATATCAAGTACGGGTTTACCGATCCGACGACAGCTGTAGAGAGTCTACAGGCTCACGTATAGGTGCTGTACTCCCAGCCGTCAGAGTGTACACTGGCATGCATACTTATACAGGACCGGCGTACGGAAGACCCAACAAAAAGGACTAGCCCACCGCGAGGGTCGAACTCGCAGCCTTCAGATACCCGCTTCCAGGTCAAGGTAAGAGTCTGACGCTCTATCCGATTGAGCTAGGCAGGCACTTCTGCGAGTTGCCTATCAACATATATCACCATTAGATGTTAAGTCAAGGATACGTCTGTACTTGCTGATTTTCTATAGTAGTTCTGATGCTTGTGTATGACACGAGCAGTTGCGCCGGTCTAAGCTCTAAGCCCGCCGGTGAGTCACTCCCACTACCAGGCGGCACAGTAGTACAGTAGGGCCAACGACAATCGTACTAGGCTAGTAGTACTGCCGCTGGCGATGGTAATATATCTGGCCCTGTGTGATATATTGCGCCCACAATCAGCTGACTTGAGATCTGATTGTAGAACACAGCTAAGTTACCTGAACCCCCCGTCGCAGCTTTCAGAGGCTTGGAGGTGACAATGCCGATGATGCTATTGATAAAAGGAAGTATGTACGCTGAACTCCGACTCGGTCACTTAGCATTGCTAATAGCAAGTTAGCACCCACGCTTGCGGACTCGCCACACAGCGCAGCGCCAACCACTGGCGTGACTTTCCATAAGCAGATGCAACATCCGTAGCTGTCACGCCCACGCGGGAACCGTCAAGTGAGTTGTTGGTTGCGACAAATTCATAAACCGACTCACCGCCCGGTGTGCGTCTCCGCCGACGGATGCAATAACATGGGAGAACCGATGAGGCTGTCATTCAGCACAGGTGCTCGCAAAGTTACGGGTGGATCTCGCCCTGGCTTGTTCCCACATTCACCCCGAACAACCCGGTCCACGTCAGGCATCGGCCTTGAGTCGCCTGACTGCCACTAGTTGCCTCGAGAGCCCCCCTCTGCTGAGACTACGTGTGTACTGCCCTATGCTAGTTTGCTCAATTCGCGTTCATACCTGGGAGAATGCTCATTGTTCCCATCTGTCATCAGATATGCTCACGGCTACTGGCTGAGGCACAACATGCGGAGCTATGTCGCAAAGCCACGTCGGTGACATGCAATGCCGACAGCACCAACGACGCCTCGTCCTTCTGAATCAGTCGATCTCCCTGTACGTCCTGGCTCAATGAAGTAGCTGCAGGAGATTCTTGCACTGGCAGACCGGTCTCCATCGCAATGAGGACCCCCCCTCTCTCTCTCTCTCCCAGGCACGGATCGCCATGAGCCGGTCGCCCTTCGCTGCCTAAAGAGATCTCGGGCTCAGCACCAGTGATCTACAGTCGCAGGCAGCACTTCTTGGCCCAGGATCACGGCTGCGTGTCATGCGTTGCACGCGGCCTCTGTTCGAGTACCACCTCTGACTGTGCCTTGGGGTCTCGTGACGCACCTATTCCCTGGTTTCCTCGCTCTCTTATAGCACCGGAATCACTTCAAATTGATAGGCTCTGTCGAATGTCCGAGGGCACCGGCACTTGAGACGGCTGTACACCATTGAATAATGTCGGGCCTTTGCATTCCCTTGCCGTGATGCTTGATGATGCACCATATGCAGCTAGCCCGGGTTCGACACAACTCCTCTCCAATCATACTGCGATCGAGGAACTAACCTTGTGTTTCCCATGTTGAGCACAGCCCCACGTCATAAACAAGAGGCCAGCTTTCTAGGGTCTGGAGGCTGGCGATTGCATCCTTCAAATCCATGACTACGGTCCACGAGATGATAGATTGTCTGCCGGACGTTTGTGTGCACGGACGATCCGAGCGCAGAAAAGGCGCGTAGGGTGCACAGGGGACATCACTCAAAGTCGGACCGATGTGGTTTGCATATTACCGTGTTCTACTCATACTCCTGTGGCTCACCTCTCATGCACTCAGCTACATACATGGTCGACTTTGATTTCCGTCCCAACTGCGAGCATCCCGCATCAACCGCACTCGCAAACACCACAGCCAGGAAAGCCGCAGACTCGCAAGACCGATGCGCAGGCTGGCACCGTTCTCGCTCCCCGTCTGCGGACGACTATGCTATAGGTTCCTTTTCCGTGCACACTCGGCTGGTACCCTCTGCGCGAACAGTGGTAAGTCGACGGACTGGAGATGCTACCGCCGCAAGACATACGACTGATAGGTATATATGCAGACAATGGACGTTATGTCTTCACTCATTCAGCCTTCGGGTCTTCTGCCGTGCCTATTCTTCTACTCGATGGACCGCCGTCAGCAGTACCACGATGGATCCACACAGACGCCCCAGCAGCAGACTCCGGATGATGTGCTACAATGGATCGATTCTGTGTCCGGGCACGCGCAAAGCAACCCGGCGGCACACTACAACTGGCCGGTAGGACAGTGGCCCCCTGAATCCGCGGCAGCGCCATACTACCCACCAGGCGCTCAACACTTTCAACAGTTCCAGCAAGGTTCATCGAATACTCCCGCCGGCGCCACGAGGGGACAAGGATACCCACAAAGCGGACAAGGATACCCGCACGCCGGACAGTCTTATCCACAAACCGGGTATCCCTATCCCCAAACCGGGCAACAGTACCCGCAAACCATCATGTTCTCTCCTGCCGGTCCTTCTCAAGGACATGCCGCATACGAGGAACACGGCGACTCTTATCGGGACTCTTCGCCTTCATATACCGAGACGGGGAGCGTTGGCAGTAGCTCAAAGGGCAAGCCCAAGATCGCGCTTGACCCCAGCCAACCTCTGACTACCGATGGGAAGCCTCGCGCTCGTGTCTTTGTAGCCTGTGATCGCTGGTAAGCACGGACAAACGAGTTGGATCGCGAGTCGATGCTCATTACAGCCATACTGCAGCCGTGTCCGTAAGCTGCGCTGCGATGGAGCGAAGCCCGTCTGCTACAACTGCCAGAAGGTCGCCCACACTGGCGTTGAGTGCGTCTATGACCCCGCGCCGAAGCGGCGGGGTCAAGACAAAGCCCCCCGGACCCGTTCAGCCGTGGGCCAGAGGAAGCCTCGGCGCCCTGCTCCCAAGAAAGGCGACGCGGCTGACGATGCCTCAGGCCAGGGTCAGTACCCTTCGGCGTACCAGGGCGCCTGAAGTCGCTCGGCCTGACCTTGGCCCTTCGGAGAACATCCAACGCTCAATAGGTTGAACCTAGATCGTGAGTGCCGAATCCGTAGCATGTGTCGAGTCCTACGCTGCTTACACATGATGAGCAGTGTTCTGTCTTCTATATCCCAACCTTGCTATATACTATGTCTCGCTTCCTATTTATTCGCATCTAAATCCCGTAATAGATCCACTCCTTAGGCACCTGCCAGTTTCAGCTGTTGCGCTGTAAGAATAGATATGGCGATATATATTGGGGCACTACCATAGACCACCGCCGGTACTGCTATGGCCCACCCTGTAAACGTTTAACTACCGCGACTCTCTAGCTGAGCTCCACATTCTCCTGCTATCGTAGATATAGCTCACCCATATGTGAATGTGTGACAAGCCCTGCATGACTCGCTGTTGAGACTACGTCGTTGACTTCGCGTTGATCCACATCATGTAACGTGCCGGGACACTCTATGATACAAAATCCGCAAGCTGAAAGTCCCAGCAACCCATTGATCATGCGCAGACCTCGCCTGGACCTGCTACCTTGAAGTCAGGGTCGACATGTGCGTATAGTTTAGCATGTCGCGCTCGAGCTGTTCCTGCGGCCGCTCGATGTCCGGCGTCACCCCCTTCTCCATCAACTCCTCCTCCAGCACACGCAGACGAGCCCCTGAATATCTGCTTTCTGCATGCATCGCCAAGGACACCGGCTGTATTACGTCCAACGGCTCGGATGGCTCAGACGAGCCTGCGTTCGTCGTTTGCGTGCCGTTGCAGCTGCTGGCATGCAGTGCGCTGAAGTTGAGCGTGATGGGCTGCTGGATGCGTTGTTGGATTTTCCGACGTGCTCCCAACCTGTGAGTCCGACAAGGTTAGGACGGTTACCCAAATGTTCCGTACGGTACGATACATACGATGTAAGGAGCGAGGTGAGATACACTGCCGGACGACGGGGATCAGTCAAGGGGCGCAGCAACAACTCGGGAACTCACAAACGCCGATTTGGAGGTAGAACGCGAGGAAGATCTGCGAAGTGGAGTTCACTATGAACTGGAGGACTAGGTGAGGACGAGTAGGGCGATAGGTACATGCGAGAGACGCTCACAGCTATCATGCCGCCGGTCTCTACCAAGCTGGGAGCGCCTCAGACCTCATGCACGTAAGGTATGATGATCGTAGTGACGTACCTTGGGAAGAGGCCTAGACGCGGCGAAGTCAATCAACGAACTCTCTCTCGTATACAATGATAGCAGAGCCAAACGTACCGGTTTCAATGGTATATACGATCATTATATTGATGATCGAGTCCGTCCTGCGGGTGTATAAGAATTGAGGTTACGAGCGCGCGTAGCAGGGACTCACCGCTTAAAACCAGTCCTGGCACTGTGCAACCATAGACACATCATGGCGGTGAGAATGGCATCCGCGCTCAACCCCGTCGCGAATATGAGGTAGAAGATTGGCTAATGCACATGTCAACCAACATTCAAACGCGCAGGGATGAGGACGAGAGGCTTACTTCGAGCCGCACACCAGTCTGACCTCTGTGCGCGCTGTCTGACGTATATCTGAATAGCCACAATCAAATTCAGGCGGACGCGGTATTGCCCTGCGGACGCACAATGTAACGGAGATGTCGATGGAGCCAGCTGTGGAATTGATAGGAGCGTTGGACCGGATTCAGGGACGAAGTGTTTCATGAAACATACCTAATTCAACAAGGCACAGCAGCACCTGCGGACAGCGAAAGCCATGAGAATGGAACACCAGATGACCGAATCATGGGAAAGTCTTACGGCCAACATCAACGCTACTGCGGAGAGCGCCCGCCAGCGGAAGTAAGTGAGCGACCGACACACTGGATCGGGCATTCCGTCAGCTCTACCTCATGTTACGTGGCTTACTGGCTGGACTCACGTAGCGATATGCGATACACATAGAGTCTGCAGCGAAACTGTCAGCACAGCTAGAACCTCCACTTAATAGACGACGACTGACGATCGGGCGAGGTTCGCTACGATGGACTACAGAGTGGGTCAGATAAACGAA